CACACAGCCTGTGCATATACTGTGACAGAAGTGCACTGATAATTGAGCTTAACTAGCTAGAAGTGTGTCAAAATGTTTTAAAGCCCAATGAGATGAATAAAAATGGTCATTTGGCCTGACTGACTACTGCTCAAGATAAAAGCAATTCTCATTAGGTTTATTCAGTAAAAGGTAATACATTTTTCTTGGTGTACAACGGCTTGGGAAAGAAAGAAGAACAGGAGGATTTTTTTTAAGCTGCCACTATGCAAAATAAACTACCCCTTTCAGAATCCCCAAGTATGTGCTAACCCAATCATTATTAAGACAGTCAAAATAGATATGGTTTAACATCTATTATGTAAGTGGGCAAAGAACATAAACAAAGGAAACAAATTCCCGCTCCTAAGTCCAGATCCTAATTGTAGAAAGTTACTTTCTAACAATTTTGACTTTTGCAATGATGAAACACTGCTGTGTGTGTGGTGGGGGGGTGTGTGGTGTGATCTGTCTTTCGTTGCATAGTTGACTAAATGGACCCAAGTCTTGTTTTAGAATTTGTTCTCTTAAGGTTTGTTGGTTTTTCTGTCTTTTTCCCAAATGGGGGTGTGGAGGGAAGGAGAGAGCCCCTGGCATTTGCAGCTTTATAAGACTGCAGCGGAACCAAGCAAGAGGGCTGATGCCACATAGAATTTCCTAAACCCCAGGGCCCAAGTGGAAAGGATTAAAAAGGTGGTCTCATAGATTTCAAACTGACAAATGAGGGAAGGTCTGAGGTGGAAATGCAGTATTAATTTGAGAATGAATGACATCACTGAAAATGTGTCGGTGCAGGCTTGGAGGGCCAAAGGGTCTGTTTCTGTGCTGTATTGTTTTTTGTTCTTTTGAAGCCTCCATTATCAACATCCTGGGGGTTACCACTGACCAGAAACTGAACTGGACTAGCCATATAAACACTGGTGACAAGAGCAAGTAAGAGGGTAGGAATCCTGCAACCACTACCATCTAGAAGCACGGTCTCCACGTGTAGATGGTGATCATCTGGTTGATTTGTCTCCAACAGCTGATCCCACCCAGGTTTCCTTTTGTTCTATGCATTGATCGCTTCCAGAAGCTCTGCAGCAAGAGAAAGTACATACTCTCGACAGGCTTTTGCCAACTTGTTGCATTGTGTCTGTTTGATCTAGACGGATGATCATTGTCGGGTTATGCAAGTCTTGTAGTAAATAAGAAATATACTAGGAACTGATGTGTGAAGCCAGTATATTACAATATAAGAATCATAGGAAGCGATTCAGCCCATGTCCTTGCAGACTCTGCAAGAGAACTTGGCTAATCCTGTTCTTCTACCTTGTTCTCTATTGACCCACAATCCACTAATAGGTCAGTGCCGGATGAATAAGAATTGCAGGGAAAGTTTCCATGCCCCACTCCAGTAATCAAGCACTGTAAGCCGACCAGGGGCTCCAGAAACATATCATGACCTCCAGTACCCCCATGCTTAAAAGCAGCCAGCAACATTCTAGATGTCCGAAAGCCTACCTGCAGTGTGATGAGCAGCAGAGTGACTGAACAAACTGCTGGGAAAAGCAATAGCAAGTGATGAACCTGGACCATGTAAAACAATATCAGTGTATTATGTAAGCATGGAATGGGAAAATGAATTTCAGTTCAAAACTGAAAGGGAAAAGCATTTGCGTTGTATGTTGCCAAAGTATATATTGATAAGTAAGAAGTGGAATTTGGAACAACACACATGCACAGTAAATTCAAGGATAGCTTTCCATTGAACATGCGTTGGACAAAGAAATTTGGTGAGCTGAAGGCTGTTTCTTTTGGCAGGACAAGAAATCATTCACAGATGGCAATGTCTGCTGACTCTTTATTTCAAGACTTTGACAAGCAAAGAGGAAATAATACTGATCCAGAGCCTTGCACTTGGTGCTTTCATGTTAGCAGAAAAAGCAAAGGAACTGATAGGAAAGATACAATCTCTTTCTGCTGTTTGGGAAATTTTAAGGTGACCTAGCCCAAAATGAGAGCCATGTTTTTCGGGAGTGAAGTTAGGAAGCACGTTGATAAGCAAAAGAGTGGCAAATGTTTGAAAATCTCTTTCCCAAACTAGGTTTGATGCTGGGTCAATAGTTTGGTTAAACCCACAATTGATAACATTCTATTAATGTAAATGTTGGGCAATATGGAGTAAAAATGGCATTATGGAATTGGATCACTGGTAAGTTATTATCTCATTGAGTGATTTGACCAGGCTTGTAGGGTTAAATGACCTCTCCCGTTCCTATCATGTGATGACTATTATTAAACTGGAGCTGTCTTTTTTTTTGCACAAACTTGTTTGGTTAGATGTCATTCGTTTTTGTTTTAGGCAGTCTTGATTGTAGGTTACTTGCAGTAGTGCTGTTACAAACAGTTGTAACATGTAAATTTCAGAAGATTTCCATCTCCCCCACAGTTCAATTATATTTCCATTCTTGAAGAGTAAAATAAGATTGGAGTAAATGTGCTGCTGAGTCCAGGAATTTAATCGCTGGAGTCACATTTTTTGAGGCTAGAGAGATCTATTCTTGTCCTACTATTTATTTGGATGCTATCCCTGTGTGCTGGATGTTTTTTGCAGTTTGCACATGATGTTACATGATGTACATTTTTTTCTTTTTGAAGCAAAACATGTTCTACTTGAGTCTTGCTTTCATTTCAGGGCAGGCCTGCAATTTTTATCTTCTTTTGCTCTATGACTTTGATCACTTTATTTGAGTTGTTTGTCTGGATGGAAACACGTGTGTGCACAAATGTTTGGAAGCTTTTTGACACCGTTCCTTGAAGCTTTTGAAATTTGAAAAGAATGCAATATATGGACGAAGAAGTGTAGGTTGCCTTAAACTGCACCTCGTTGCTGTCAGTGACTGCTGCCTGTGCAGGATTTGAGATAATTCCATGATTTCAGCTGAGCAGTCTAGAGTAAAACGTGTGTATGATACTCTCTCTAGCTCTTTATCTGTATATAGCCTTATCCTCAAATAAAAAGTCATTGTACTGTTTTACCAATCTGTGTGGTAGTTTGAGTATGTTTATGTTGAATAGAAAAGAGCACAACTAATGCAAGGCATTAGAGTAAAACTAAGAACTGCAGACGCTGAAGATCTGAAATGAGAACAACTTGTTGGAGAATCTTAGCAGGTCGAGTAGCATCTGTGGAGAGAAAGCAGAGTTAATGCTGAGTCCAGTGATCCTTCAAGAAACCTACATTTCTTCATCAATTTCTGTGTTTGTGTGTGAAGGATTAGAAACATAGAATACTGAACAAATTACATGATATACTACAGAAAGTTACCAATGTTTCTTTAGCAGCACTTCCTGGAATCCTCACCAAGGACAAGGCACCTGGGAACACCGTCACTTTCTTTCCTTCAAGCCATACAGCATTGTAACTTAGTCACACGTTGCTGCTCCTTCACAATTGCTGGATCAAATTCCTACAACTCTGCCAAAAGCTTGGTGGAAACACCATCTCCACATGGATTTTAGTAGTTAAAGTAGAATTTTCAGCACCATCTTCACAAAGCCTATTAGGGATGGACAAGAAATGTTGGCATTAATGAGTTTTTAAAGTCTATTGAACAGAAAATTAAGGTGTATACATATTTTTAAAATACTCGTTGAAGTCTTCTGATTTAGCTGGAAAGGCAGACTCTTTTTCGAGGTCTATCAATATGTGTTATTGAAACATGGAATTTCAAGTCATGTACCTGAGCTGACTCTCCCTTCTTTTTAAGGAAGAGAGCTGATGCAAGTTTTTTTTTTTTTTTAAGACTTTAACATTTATAGTTGAACGTATACCCCTCACCTGCTTTTACTTGTGTTTCTCATCAAATTTATTGAAAACTTGCATCCAAATTCCTTGCTTAAGTTGGAAGCTTTGTACATGTAGTTGTTTGGATTTTGATATACTTCTTCGTTTTCCAATTCCTGTAGGAGACCTTCAAGCATCCTTGTAAATATGCCTCTGAATTTTCCCCTCCTCTGTACTGCATTCTCGAGTGATTGTCAAGTTGGAATAGGTTCTCCGGTAATAATACATAAGAGGCTGGATTTTGAAGCCGTAAACGCGGGTAACCACGGCAGCTGTGAAGCTCTGGCTGTTTCCTGATAGTAAAGAGTTCTCCATACAAAGCTTGTGATTTTTTTTTTCAACTGAGGGTGTAGCCTAATCAATTGCTCAGTGAGGCAAAGTCCTGCATGTTTAAAAGATGTTTATTTCGCCTGCTGTTTTTTCATCTGCCCCATGCACATGATGGAGAGTGGAGGTGCATGAGTGGTTAAGGAGGAGAGGATGGAAATGTAGGTCACACTCAACTTCATCCGATGCTGCTATAACTGTAACACACACCTTCATTCTGCTCAGTGATTGATGCTCATCTTCCCCATGCACCTTTTGTATCAAGACCCCATTTTACCTGGGGGTGGGGGGAGGTCATATAAAGTCTGAGCCATTAAAATGGATCACACCAGTAAAAGCTTTGGGGAGCACTGCTTCACAAGGCACTTGATTTATGTATCTGCTGAAGTAGTACATTTTTAAAAAAAAAAAAAAAAATGTTGAGTAGAAGTGCAGAGTTTTAATTGCAAAGTGTCGGTTGGTTGCAAGTTTGATGGTTTTCACTATTTAAAAGTAAGCTTAAACAGAAATGGAGAAATACTAACTTTTTCTCGTAAGTATAATGCATATCGAGAAGAAAGTACATCATCACATAACTCAATGTACACCTGGTTTATCGGGTGATATGTTACAGCTTTAGCTAAAATGGAGTACCTTAGCAAATTCGTTTTCTATATATAACTGCTCATGGATGGTCGAAGAAATTGCTGTCAGATTTACATTAATACATGCTTTTAGCCTTTCTATCATTTCTATCCGAAATTACTGCAATTTAACTTGTTGATGAACAGTAAAGTGGTCATTTGCTTGTGATGTCTTCAGTTCCGCGTGTTTGTTTATTCCCTAGGACTGGCTTCCATGACCGTGACGGTATACATTGCAGAGGCTGCACCTTCCCATCTCAGAGGACGATTAGTTACTGTCAATACCCTTTTCATTACTGGAGGACAATTTTTTGCAAGTGTCATTGATGGAGCATTTAGCTACCTTGAAACAAATGGCTGGAGGTACGTTGTGTAACATCAAGAATGTTGTTTATGTTTAAAGGCTTATAATTAAATGATATATGTCCCAGAGAAAAAAATATATTGCTCGAACCTCTGATTAACGTTGAAATAAATCATCTATCAGCAATGATGTAAAAAGTGCCAACTTCTCAAAGTGTTTTATGGCCATATGGGATGCATCCATTGCAGCCTGCTTTCTCGGCCTGAACACACAGCGTAGGGTGGAGAAGAGACAAAGCCATGACTCTAATTCACATGGGAACACTTCTTGACAGTAGAAAAAGGCAGAATGGAAATTTATAATGAAAGGTAAGTGAAATTAAACTTGTGTAGCATTGTTTAGGTCTTGTGTAGCTTCTCTTTTTTTGTTCTAATTTCTTTTAAACATTTACTGTAAATTGCAGATTTAATATCACTATTAATAATTCGAGTTCTAATTTGTTTCTATTTATTTTAACATTGTGATTTCCAATAAATGTAGGGTGAGGCGAGCTAGGGTGATAGAATGACAGGTTTGTGGGTGAAGGCATAGGGTAGGTCAGGGTGAGGAAGGACAGGTGAGTGGGAAAGTGCTGATGGGCAGTTGGGTCCAAGTGAGAGGTTTCTGATTGGGGTATGGTGGGTTTATTTAGATGTCTGTGGACAGTTGGGGTTATATTGGTTTGTGCAGGATCAGTTTAACAGTTATCTAGGAGCTAGTGCAGGTTTTAATCTCTAAATTTTGTGGGTAGTGAGTAAATTGAGTAATTCTGAACAAGTATCTAATTCTAAGCTGGGGATATTTTTTTGGAGGATTTCAGATGTTGACTGCTCGCCTATCAGAAGATTTAACTTAGCTGCTGCCATGGGAATTATCTACTACGTAATGACTTCCCCATGGTTCTAATGGTAACTCCAGTGTACACTGCTGCAGTGACTATCCTTTCAGTTTGAAGATCTGGGCCTGTGTGTTTTGATAGAAGATACATTCCAGAAGGTGAAGCTGTCCTTGCCTAAGGATGTAAATAACTAAGAATTGCTGTATCTGGGATCTCATATAAAATCAAAACCATTTATTATCCATCTTAGCAGGCAAATAACCTGTTCATTTTCTTGTGAATGTTTCCACTGAACATTTTTGTTTTGAACTAACTGCTGAAGTCATCTGTATGGCTCTTCAATACATAATACACTTTTTTTTAGCATAACTGTTTGTTAATGGACAACATTGGAAGTTAGTTGATCTTGCTGTGGAGCAGACCAAACCCCTTTCAAAGTATATTAAAAAAATAGTCTAGACCCAACCTTTTTGTTTATTTTAAAGGTAGGCGTAAGGTGTTGCATCCCAGATGCAATTTGATTGGTCAAACTAATTGACTTTAAGCAAAATACACTTTGTATTTTAACTGCAGTTTAAAAATAGACAAAATAAAAAAGAAATGGCTCAACTGTAACTATTGAAATACTTACAAAATAATATATAAACTACTACTACTAATTAACGTTCCAATGTAGTAATATCCCATAAACACACGTTGCAAAGACAAATTCTGTAAAATAGATTATATCACGTGCAATTCTGACAGCAGGAAGAGAACCACAGCTTTTAGTTGTAACAGGGAGAGGAATAAGAGCTTCCACATCCAGCTTCAAGACCCCAACAGCTGCAGAAAATGTAACTAAAATCCTGGTCTGTGGGAGCTTGATCCCATCTGTTTAGGCTGCTTCAATTGTTCCAACTTTTTAAAAGGAGAACTCTTCAGACCTCACCAGCTCTTTATTAGCTTTGCGCAGACTGCTTGCAACCTCTGTCTCAACCTTCTGTCATTGAAAAGACCAGGACAAAATACGTCACTTTAAAGTCATAGTGTTGTCACAATCTGATGGAATCAGCAGTGACAGACCAGTTAATTAAGCCTCTGGTGGGAAAACCTATTGAAGTGATAGACTAGGCCAAAATTGAGTGACGTTGAAAATTTTGGATTTGTTGAGAAAAAGGCAAATATTGTTTGAACTACATTGTTTTGAGCTTTTTGAAGTGGTGATGGATAACGTGGTTCAGGGTAATGTGTGGCATATGTGGACTTCCTAAAAGTGTTTGATAAAATGTTACACAACTGACTTAGCAGCGAAACCCATGGAATATGTGTGAAAGAAACAACAGGAAACAGTATAGAAAATGGGAGCAGAGAGGCTGACGTT